ATTTTGTAGTAAATCCAAGTACATATCGCCTGTCATGGAGAGTGCAATGATGGAAAATTTGAGGTATGGTGGAACAAAATTTTTTTTTCTAGAAATTTTGGTGGGGGGTGCTTTGCCCCCGGGCCCCCACAATTATTATCGAGGATTTCATATTATCATCCAAAGCAGCTTCAAAAATTATAGATCCAGCCAAAAAATTTTAAAAATTTATTGAAAAATACAAAAGTTACAGCAAAAAAACCATTTTTAATTCTCGACTTCAAGAGCTAATAACTCTACAGGGTGAGCCCGGAGGAAAAAATTTTATATGAACTTGTGACATTATTTTCTCATTATCTATCCATATCCGAGAGATTGCCCACCATTTCCGGGACACCCTGTATACTTTTTATACATGACTTTTTGTTTCAGCAAGCTGAATTTATAGATGCTAAATATTATGTACAATAACATATTAGTTTCCACAGTCATAAAAATGGGGGAAGNATATATATATAAATATATAAAAGTAGACTATTAGACGACTGTCTATGTTGAGAATTTTGGAATTTAGTCGGATATGTCAGTCAATTTAACAAAGAAGACTCTTTATTCAGTTCAAGCTTTCGAGCACTTTATTGTCACTTCCTCAGGAACTCTATAACGGTTACAATATTATGAAAAAACTTTAAAAGCCCAAACAAAAAACTATACTTACAAATGTTGAGATTATATTATAAAAATGATGACGCGACGACTCACGATATGGATCATTGTTTCGTCGCGTCATCATTTTTATAATATAATCTCAACATTCGTAAGTATAGTTTTTGTTTGGGCTTTTAAAGTTTTTTCATAATGTTGTAACCGTTATAGTTCTTGAGGCAGAGACAATGAAGTGCTCGAAAGCTTGAACTGAATAAAGAGTCTTCTTTGTTAAATTGACTGACATACCCGACTAAATTCCAAAATTCTCATATATATATATATATATACAGGGTGTTCCACCTAAGAGGGATTCTTCTGTAACCCTGTAATTGTAAAATTTATAAAAAAAATGGTTTTTATAAAAGTTGCCTGGAGTCATGTGGGCCATGTAAAGAAAATATTTTTAGTTTTACAGGGGTTCCATTTCGCATGGGCGTTACATAACTTTGTTATTTTAAATGGAACACCCTGTATATTATTGCAGCATTTTTGAATTCCTTGGTTAATATTAGGTAAAGTTTATTAAATGTACATGGTGTTTAAAACTTACCGTTTTAAAAAAAAATCACGATTTCAGCTCTCTAAATAAGACTAGATTGCATCTAAACTAAACAGTAAGAGTTACAAATCTGCAGCTTTCACAGTTCATATTGCCATAAATTACTTTATCTTGTCATCTGAGCAAAATGTGTACCTTATTCAGACTCGGAAATACTGAGACCTACATTTAATAACACAGACCAACAAAATTTAACTTTTTTTTGGAAGCAGAAACTTGAATATATATTTCCGAAGGATTTAGGTGCGCTGAATCCGAATCTGGCAGCAGAATTGCTCTATCACGTCTGGTTTTTGAGATATCCTAACCTAAAAGTGCAAAAAACACTGTTTTTCGTCATATTTGAGGTTATGTAGTAATGCCGTCTATTCTTTTTAAAAAAAACTAATACATTGAATCTAAAAGTACAAGGCTCCCTCCTTCGAATGCCGTAGAGTTTGCTCAAATATCTTTTTTCTCGTTGAGATATCACATGTTGAAATTTTTAAGTTTCTCAGTTTCTTAATATGCGAAAATCTACTAAGGATCCCTTAGACATCAAGCAGTCGGTTGCAATTCAGAAACTTCATACCTATACGGTTTGTGGGTTTGGAGTTGGTGGGGTTGGGGTGTGTAAGCTTGGAGTTTGTAGGTTCGGGTTTTGTGGGATTGGGATTTGTGGGTTTAGGGATTGTGGGTTTGGGGTTTGTGGGTTTGTGGATTTGGAGTTTGTGAGTTTGAATACGTATGTATTGAAGGTTTCTGAGTATGAAGTTTCTGAACTGCAATCAACTGGTTGACGTCTAAGGGATCCTTAGTAGATTTTCGCATATTAAGAAACTGATAAACTTGGAAAAAAATATATTTGAGCAAACTCAACGGCATTCGAAAGAGGGAGCCTTGTACTTTTAAATTATATGTATTTATACATAACCTCAAATATGACGAAACTCAGTGTTTTTTGCACTTTTAGGTTAGAATATTTCAAAAACCTGACAATAGAGCAATTCTGCGGCCAGATTCGGATTCAGCGCGCCAAAATCCTTCGGGAATGCATGTGTCTGCTTCTTGACCCTTGTTGACCTGTGTAATCTAAGGAGTTGAAAAACTTTTTTTTTTTTCAAATGGAAGGACCCATATTAATTGTCATGGCTGAATGCAAAACTTAATGCGCTTTCGATTGATATAAGGTTGTCCATACTAACAGTTTTCCAGAAAAATCAGGTTCTCTTCTAAAGTCCGAAAAAGTAACTATGTTACAGCGTCAAGAAGGCCTTGCAAAACCACAAAATAACTAGATCGATGTCGCATACCCAAAAAAGTTACAAAAAAAAAGATTCGAAAAGCATACGCTACTCAAAAAAAAAATGAGTACTGCAACTTCTCTCTGCTCCGTTCACGCTTTGATATTTTAAACCAAAATTACACAAAAAGTGTGCGGATTGAAGATGTGCTAAATTTCAAAAAAATATCCACAATAACCGGAATTATCACAAAAAATCATTTTTTAAATTTTAATTTTGACACCCTGTATTTTGAAAATAAGGCTCCGAAATGAAAAGTGACATAAGAAAAGTCTTATTATTTTACTCCAAAAAATATGTGGTTAACGGATTGACCTACTAATTTGTAACAGTCTGCATATTAACTATAATATAATTTAATAGTATTACAACTAGAGTTTGTTTAGTTTAAGTTTGAAGTTCAAACTACACCCTTATTTTATTTACCTCATACTGTTGAATATCGGATAACTGTAAAAGAAGAGATCCTCCTTTTTGCGGTGCTCCTCCACAAAGTGTGCCAGATGGATCTGTTACATCGCCATCTAATGTAACACATTTGCGCCTTATATGGTCATGAAAAGTTACTTGCTTAGCTACATTCATGTCTTTGCAGATAAAGACATTACCAAAAATAAATTCCATTGCAGTTTGAAGTTCTTTATCATATTCTATAAGAGACAAAGCAGGTCTACAATTTTCTTTACCAACCTAAAAACAGATATGGTAAAATTTTCCTACATATTTATTAAGTTCATTCTATTTAAATCATTCTATTGAAAATAATTATATGACCATTGCTTTAACGAAATATCTAACCAAGTAAATGAATGTTAATATTCGAGAACACCTGTGGGCGAAAATACAAAAATAAGTTAATAATATCACAGAGTAACAAGAAATTTTATTCAATGTTAATGTCTTTCCTCTCTTTTTATAATTGATTTTGTATTAATCCATAAAGTTTTCATATTTTACAGCCTATTTTGATAGAATTGTTAATTTAATTTTAACCTGTAGTTTCTAAAACATTAATGCTGTGTGTTTCTAAAACGGTCAAGTTTAGGGACTTTTACCAAGTATACTTTTTTTATTTAGAATTTAATTCAATTTAAAATTTCTTGCTTTAAACTCAGATTTTTGAAGGGCAAAAAAGTTAGACATGTTTCGACACTGACAGGAGAGTGAAACTAGTGCCCCCTACAAATGACTGCAATACAGATACTATATTCATAATTGTCTTGAAAACTATGTGTGCAAATTATCAAGATAATCCATATAGATACTCAAAATATTACAAAAAAATAGAATATTTTTTGGACTTTAACTCCCTGCAGAAAAAGTAGATATATTTAAGTAAGACATATTTAGTTCAATTCAAGGGGTGGTAGATGGGTAAAAAAACAAACTGCCAATGGTAGCTAATTTGGCAAAAAGATAATGGCAAAATTTCATGACTTTCTGCTGAGTATTGCTTTTTACTGGAATCAATTTTCAAATTTTTGTCGAGAGAAAACAATGCTGCTGCAATAAGATGAGTTTTGAAAGCCAGTAGGCTCGGTAGAACATAGAGCAACAGCAATATAGTAAATTTTGACATATGCTGCAAAATTCAAATCATTAAACACATTATTTATCTATTTTCATATATCTTTATTATTTTATTATTCGTTTGAGTTTTCTGTTAGATGACTTGTTACTGAATTATAGTTTATTTTATTTAAAAGAATGAAATTTTTGCTTATCTATTAAACTATGAGATTTGACAATATCCAAGTGTGTATGCGCTTGTGGTTAATGTATGCAGTTCTTTAAGGTCTAACTAGCTTATTCGGTGACAGGGTATGAAAATTACAATATAAAAAGGTAAGAAAAAATCAATTTGCACCATACAGTTTATGAAAACAAACTTATAATACGTGTTTCTAAAGGCCCTTCATATAAATATGACCTCCATTCAATGTTATATGAATAACAAATCTAAAATAAAAGTAAACATTATTTTATAAACATAAACTATTTTAATTAAATTTATAGGGGCACACACCATACATATTCAATAGATAAATAGTGGAGCACCGACATTGGAAGTTTGTAGCAACTGAAGTTAACGGTTGGTTTGAAATTACCAGATATGTTCGATTTAAAAATTTTTGTTTCTTATACTTGAAAACTTGCATCATAATTTACTACTAAAGTTGATACTTACTAATTCCTGAGCTAGACGTATTACATCATTATTCATTTTGTTAGCTCTTATCTTATTCAGTGGGATAAATGTTGTTCTCTGCTGAAGATTACCTTTTTGTAGAAGTTTTTTACTGGTAACTTCTGAATCAACAACAACGTTGTATAACTGAAAATAAGTATTAGGAAATAAATCATTCTTTTTCTTTTCTAATAGGTTTTTGATTTTGAGATCAATACGAAGTGTACTTTAACCCTTTCATTGTGGCACCAGTTTTCAAATGCTATTCCCGCTGTGCTGACATGGGCAAGCAATGCAGATACATACAATATTTATGTCGTGGATATGGCTGCTTGCCTCACTGAACATGATGACTTTTTGTCACCATCAAAAATGCCTTTGGAAAGCCATATTTCAGTAACGGTGTTCCGGAGGACTATAGGAACTTTTTTTACTATTTTTGGCTCTACTTTCACTTCCTTAAATTTTGTACCAACTTTTCCAAATACCCTGTATAATGTGTTCCAATGAAATAAACATTAAAAAAAAAAAAAAAAAATGGGAGAAATAAATCCGCAAATTGAGGAGCTGTAAAAACCCGCATGGTCTTTATGAAAATGTCAAATTGGCTGAAATTGTGGTAAGTTGTAGGTTTTGTGACCAACAGTCACTATAGTACTTGGGTCCAAAAATCAAATCAATTGTTTACTACAATCTTTCCGAAGTCAGTTGAACATGCAAAAAAAACCGCCTGGCAATAAAATTTAATGACTTTCATTGGCGTCCCTAAAAAAGTTTTCTGCTAAAGGTAAAAAATTATAATAATTTGTATATAATGTGTAGAATAAGTAATTTCTATTATATGTTCATTTGGCCAACAACATATTTTAATTATTTACGTCCTCAAACAATTTTATTATATTGCAGGTAAATTTTGTTTTGTTCCGTTTCAAAATGTCTCCAAAATGCCTTGTTGTAGTAATATTATTTCTTACTTTCGCAATCGTAATATAAATGATTAATAGATGGTGCCTATAAAAAATTAAAATTAACTAAATCACACCAAATTCCGCATTGCTGTACTGCACTGCTGGGCAATTTGTTAACCACTTGTCAAAAACTGAGATTTATTGCCCAGTAGCCCAATGCAGTTGTGTTAGATTTCGTTTGCCCGCGCTCGCATTCTTCAACTGGGCATATACATTTTTACCACCTCCACATGTAGTTCGACCAGACCTGTATATGGGTATGGTTAAATAAATATGGGAACAAGTTTTTCCAATATTTCAATGCCGAGTTGCTGCGTCAGCGACCGAACTTGGTACATACCGTCAACGTCTTAGTTCTTCAATTGATATCGGAAAGACTATACTTATAGCGGTCTGAGTCAGTTCTGCTGACGATGGCTGCACAGTAGTATGAGTAGAATATTGCAATAAAAACAGTAACTTTTGTAAAATGTTTATAAAAAAAATTAATCGGATGACTTCAAAAATTTGTTAATTAATTAACATTTTTGACATCTGCTGCAGACTGCTACGAGTAGGAAAAAATTGATTTTCACACCCAAGTACAGTGGAGACTTTTAATCAGTAACACAAAACCAACAACTTAGCCAATTTGACCGAGCTCACATTTTCATAGACTGGTGCGGAGTCTTTTAAAGAATTATAATAAAAAAAGTTGTTACTAATTAGGTTCATATTATATTAGGTATGTATATTGGAGATAAAATTTGATATTAAGTAACACTGATTTTTCTTTATGCATAAACTTTTATCAAGTATAACAATTTTCCAAGAAATCGATAAAACATTTTTTTAATATGTTGATCAATTATTTTTGTCTGCACCATACATGTGGTTACATTAAAAAAAAAAGATATTTATTACTGTCATTGTCAAGTAAATAATAAAAGTAGAAATAAACACATGGAATGGCAAAGGCTTACTACATAATGACCTGAATACTAATTTATGACAAATGACAAATTTTTATATACAGGGTGTTTTCAAAAGAAGTAGCATAAATGGTACTACCGAACTACACTAAAAAGAACACGTTTTGCATATGACTTTAGTAAAATGTTTAAAGCCTCTCAAAGTTTCCAAAAAATGTGAAATAGCGGCTGTACTTTGAAAACCAAAAAAGATATAATAGTCAAATTTTCTACTAATGCATGTGCAACTTTTCGACAATTTTTCGAAGGGGTTAAAATAAGCAATAAGCAGGTTATTTCTTGCTATAATTTTTTTTTTGACAAAAATTTAATATTCAAAAATACGTATCAGATAGTTTGACTCATTTTAAAAGTTTTGCCTCTCTTACTTTTTTGCTTTAAAATTAACCGCTTATTAACAAAAAAATTAAATTTTCTATCATTCACATTACAACTCGCACTATTGCAACTTAGAAATATTTAAATGGCAAATAATTTTACTAATGATGACATGTTGCAAGTATTTTTTGAATGTCGGAAAAACTGTGCCGTACCAAGAAGAATGTTACCACCAGTGGACGGAAATTATCATGACAGCCGCTTACTTAAATATTTCTTAGTTGCAATCGTGCGAGTTGTAATGCGAATGATAATGTATTTAATTTTTTTGTTAATAAAAGGTTAGTTTTAATACAAAAAAAGTGAGAGAGGTAAAAGTTTTAAAATAAACCAGGCAATCTGATATGTATTTTTGAATATTCAATTTTTGTCAAATAAAAAAATTGTAACAAAAAATAACAAGGGACAAAAATTTTCGAAAATCCTTCAAAAGTTGCACATGTATTAGTAGAAAATTTGTGTAAAATTTGACTACTTTGACTTTTTTGGTTTTCAAATTGCAACCGTTATATCATATTTTTTTTGGAAACTTTGAGACTGTAACTCTTAAGGGGTGAACACATTTTTGCCCATTTAACTATTTCTGTAACTCTTAAAATAAGAAAGATACCTATATAGGACAATTAAAAAGTTGTAACCCTGTATATTTATATATTCCCGCCATGAAAGGGTTAATGCACTTCTGAAATATTTTTTCTAAATTTTTGTGTAAAGGAAACTTTATAATTTATTCATTGTCGTAATTCATTCAAATTACCGATCAAAATACTACTATCTTTTCATGTGCAGGGCTCGGCTTTTGTAGCCGATTGGTAACATAGATAAACCGTTCACCGGATATTAGTACTCAGGCCCTACATTAAATAGAAAATTCAGATCATACATTATTAATGTAGGAAAGGCCAATTGTTCATCGGATTTTTAGCGGTTAAATTAATAAAAGTTCGTTATAGTCCACAGTACAGGCCCTCCCTGGAAAGTTGATTACCACATACTTTATAACTCGTGAGGAGCTTTGTTTTGACGAGTCTAGCACAGTTTTCCTCTGCGACTTTTCTCAATTCCTCCGCTTTTCCACTCGGAAAAGTCCAAAAACAAGGCAATTTCCCGGGGTCTTGAAAAGTCAAGACCGCATCTTTTTTTTAGCTTAAGTTACTGGAAATTTTGTTACAAATGCCGATTTAAATTTGTCCGACAGAAATTCTTCCGACATTGACGTGTCTACCGGCCGAAACATGCCAAAATGACAGGGTATTGAAAATCAGTTACCACATAGGTCATTTTTAGTATTAATTGTAAATAATTAATTCAGTCAAAAAGTATTGTTGTCCGACAAATTTCAAGCCGCGTTTTTTCAGTCCGACAGCTGGAAATCGGAATTTTCACGGGGTATGATAAATCGATTACCACATATTTAATATTCATTTTTCCCACTTTTAAATTTACTGTACAAAATAGTGATATAAATAAGTATCCAACGATAAAAAATCAATAAATTAATAAGCGTGATGAAATTTATTTTTTTCACTCCAAAAATTTGATATTTATAAATGGTTATTAATTATTATTATGTAAATTATTATTTGTTTCAAATAAATAATATAATACGTATTGCTTATTTTATGCTTACAAATTTTAAAGTTATAAACAGATGAAGTTATTTTTGAGACGATTAATAAATACATAGTTCAACATATTCAAACTATTTTCTCGTGTAATATTTTAAAAGTTCCCCTCATGTTACTTTCACGAGTAGTAGCAACTATAACAGGTTTAGTAGTAAACCAGTATGGTAGTACAAACATAGCAAGGCTGGTATATCCTAGGTTGTCTCATAACTCCGCCAACCAATGGGAACTAAGTGAGGAATTGGCGCGCTTGACGACAGCCTGTATGCTACATTTAAATGAACTTACGAGTTTTATACTGTTTTATACTTTATAAATGTCATTTTGATGGAATTTCAAGGTAGATAACTACATATATATTTTTAATGTATTTTGGAAATACTAACTATTAACATAATATTTCTTGTATTGTTAATTTTAAATAGTATTTACTATTCTAGGTCCTGCAGCTTCCTTACAAATTATTTTCGTACCTATTTATTATAAGTTTTGTGTGAATTTAGTGACGATGTTTGGTAGACTAATGGAAAACTTGATTTTGTTACTCTTTCATTTTCATGGGGTGATGAAACTTTTAATATTAAGTTTATTGAAAATGATATATCCTATTGAAGGCCAATGACTATATTTTCTAAAAAAATTATAAAATTTTTAAGTTTTACAATAAAACCTGGTAAAAACAACACATGAAAAAGTTTAGTAATTTTTACCCTCAACCTCATTCTCGAGAGTAGATTTGGCAAGCTATACAGGGTGTCCCGGTACTTGATACAAAAAAGTCGAGTACAAGTATATGAGGTCAAAATAATATCAGTTCTTCATATAAATTTTTTTCATACGGGCCTTCGTTAACAAGTTACGGGCCCTCAAAGGTGAAAATTAAAAAGTTATTTTGATTTGTAGTCTCTAAACTATTAAGTTTACCATGACGCTTTGGTGATTGATAACACATGCGTGCAGCTTGATGTTAATGTTGTAAGTGAACTTCATTAAGCCCAGAATGCTAGGGACGGACTATGCCCAATGCTTAACAACCCAGAATTTTTACATAGATGACAATCGCTGCCTGTATCAAAAATAAGTTCCCTGAAGAATTTGCCAATGAAAATACCCTCTTGGTTCAACTCGGTAAAATTAACAGTTAAGGAAATATTTGTGATTTTATGTCATAGTGCACATAGACGGCGCCTCCACCATTTTTT